CTTACTTAATTTATTAGTCTTATAATGCAATCTTTCGTAGGCCTACTGTAGATTCAAAATTGTATTTCTGTAAAATCCCTGAATATTTTCTCTTGTATGCAGGGTCAATGCTTAAATATGTTCAAGGAGGATCTCAAGGACAGGATGAACCATCCAGTAGTAGTGCCATCCCTGGACATCAACCACCAGCCATTGTAGACCCTGCAACAATCCCTAGCCAAGAAGAACAAGAACCATCAACCACCAGTTCAGGTACAGTTCCATACACAAGTACCACTGAGAGTCCTATCACTGAGAGACTATCAGAAAGTGACACTGTGGAGACATGTGTGCCCCCTTCAACCGATCCTGCTCTTTGGCCAGCTCACATTGTAGATGCTGATCGTGTTGAAATTGTGCGGAGAGGTCCTTTTAATGTCAGCTCTGATTTTAATTTTCCAAAGGGGCCTGATGGAAGAGCATTTCACACTAGCCTTAAGTTCAAAATTCTTCCCAATGGAGAAAAGGTTCACCGGAGCTGGTTAGTGTACTCACCGCAGAACAATGCTGTGTTCTGCTTTGCATGTAAGCTTTTCAGTGTGAAGGATATAAAGCTGAGTACAGAGGGCTTCAGTGACTGGTCGAACATCAACATCCGTTTGAGGGGTCATGAGTGTAGCCAAGACCACATACAGTGCATGCTTAAGTGGAGAGAACTGGACACACGGCTAAAGAAAAGCATGGCAATAGATCAACAGGAGTTGACCTTACTAGAGGCAGAAAGGAAAAAGTGGCGAGAGATTCTCAAACGATTACTCTCAATAACTCTCTCACTGGCTTCCAGAAATTTGTCTTTTAGGGGCTCTTCTGACTGTCTTTATGAGCCGGACAATGGCAACTTCTTGAAGGAAGTAGAGCTTATGGCAACATATGACCTTGTAATGGCAAATCACTTGGCCAACATAAAAGATGAAGGTTCCCACACACATTACCTCAGCCCTGAGACACAGAACGAACTAATTCAGATTATCTCTTCAGAAACATTCCGCGCCATTGTGAAGCAAATCCAGTTGGCAAAATACTTCTCCATCATTCTTGACTGTACTCCAGATGTGAGTCACACTGAACAAATGTCAGTCATAGTACGCATTGTTTGTTTCCAAGCACAACCAGATATTAAAGAATACTTTCTTGGCTATATAAATGTGGAGCAAACAACTGGCCTTAACCTGTCCAATGTTGTCCTTGACAAGTTGAAGGAGCTTGGCATTCCATTTGAAAACTGTCGAGGACAGGCCTATGACAATGGGGCCAACATGAAGGGGAAGAAGCAAGGTGTTCAGGCCAGACTGCTACAATTAAACCCGAGAGCATTGTTTGTGCCTTGTGGAGCTCACACGATGAATCTGGTCATAGCTGATGCTGCCAAGTCCTCTCCAGATGCAACTGGCTACTTTGGGTATTTGCAGAAGTTGTTCAATTTCTTTTCCAGTGCCACCCAGCGATGGGCCATTTTAACAAAACATGTGAAATTGACACTTAAATCTTGGAGTGACGTTAGATGGGAAAGCAGGCTTCAAAGTGTAACTGCTGTCCGGAGTCAGACAAAAGAAGTGAGGGATGCTCTCCTGGAGGCCAGAGAAGCTGTAAGTGATGCAGTCGCAAAGGTGGAGGCTCAAGTGCTTGCTGAGGAAGTAGCCTCATTTCGATTTTTGATTTGCTCCATCGTGTGGTGTGAACTTCTTACAATCACAAACCAGGTGAACAAGTTACTACAGTCCAGCTCCATGCAGCTCGATGTTGCTGTCAGGCTCATTGACACTGCCAAAAGTAACCTCTCTAAATACAGACAGTCTGGGTTTGATGAGGCTGTGTCAGCTGCCAAAGAACTCTGTGAGGCCCTGAACATAGAACCACAGTTGAAGGAGAAAAGGCTCAGGAGCACAAAAAGGCAGTTTGCATATGAAGCTGTTGATGAGCCCCTCCATGATGCCCTTAAAAAGCTTGAGGTCACATTTTTCAATTGTGTTGTGGACTCTGCTTTAATCTCCCTACAGGAGAGGTTTGAGACCATGAATCAAGTGAAGGAGAAATATGGAGTGCTGCTTGATTTCAGCAAAGTGAATGGGATGTCCAAGGAGGATTTAAAAAAACACTGCACTGAAGTACAGAAGACACTGACAGATAAGGGAGTAGCTGACATTGATGGACCTGAGATGATGCAGGAAATCATCAACCTTCCTCAGCTGCCACCACAGACGTCTGCTTTGGAAATGCTGTCATTTTTACATGACAATCAGCTTCAAGAGGTATATCCCAATCTGTGGATTGCTCTGCGTATTGCACTGACCCTGCCTGTCACAGTTGCCTCTGCTGAGCGAAGCTTTTCAAAGCTCAAACTCATTAAAACGTACCTGCGTTCATCAATGGGGCAGGAACGTTTAAGTGGTCTGGCTGTTATCAGCATCAATGGTGACGTGGCTCAGAAGCTATCATATGATGACCTTATAGCTGATTTTGCAACCAGAAAATGCAGGCGTGTGCCTCTCTAGGCCCTAGAGAGGCACACCACGCCTGCATTTTCTGGTTGTCAGAGTATGCCCTAGAGTCTAGGGCAAAAAAAAATTACACATTATTGCCAGGCTCTTTGTTCTTGTTCCAATGTTCAATTTTTGTTTCAGTATTTATTTGTAACAGTATTTTTAACCTCCTTTAACCTTATTTATTTGTTTAACTGTCATGTTTGTTGTTATTTAATTAAACAAATTCCACTGAGAAATTCAAAAGTATTAATGTTTTTTTTTTTTCTTTTTTCAGTGGCGGGGGGCACCATAAAGCATTTGTGCTTAGGGCACCCAAATGGCTAGCAACGGCCCTGCATGGCAGTTCCCTCTGCAGAGTTTAAAACCAAACACACCTGAGCTTACTTCTTCACAAACACAGAAGCAAACATGGACCACGACCTGAAACACGAGTCTGAAGAGAAAAACAGGGCTGAGGATGCTAAAGCCAGTCATGAAGTGGCCACCATCCGGCGAATCTACAGGTTAGAGGCGTTGGAAAAGCTACGTGAAGATGTGACGAGCATCATTGAACACTTCATGGAGGATGGCTTTCTGGAAAGTGACGGAGGCGCGAGAGAAAGTGACGGAGGCGCGAGAGAAAGTGACGGAGGCGCGAGAGAAAGTGACGGAGGCGCGAGAGAAAGTGACGGAGGCGCGAGAGAAAGTGACGGAGGCGCGAGAGAAAGTGACGGAGGCGCGAGAGAAAGTGACGGAGGCGCGAGAGAAAGAGTTCAGTGAGAGCGAGCCTGAAATGCTGCCGGATCAAACTTTCCCTGAGGAGCAACCTGTGGCATCGTCTGTTTATCCTGCAAGGGAAGTCGTGACTCTTAGTGAAGCAAACACGGACCACGACCTGAAACACGAGTCTGAAGAGAAAAACGGGGCTGAGGACGCTAAAGCCAGTCATGAAGTGGCCACCATTCATGGAATCTACAGGCCAGAGGCGTTGGAAAAGCTACGTGAAGATGTGACGAGCATCATTGAACACTTCATGGAGGATGGCTTTCTGGAAAGTGACGGAGACGCGAGAGAAAGTGACGGAGACGCGAGAGAAAGTGACGGAGTCGCGAGAGAAAGAGAGTTCAGTGAGAGCGAGCCTGAAATGCTGCCGGATCAAACTTTCCCTGAGGAGCAACCTGTGACATCATCTGTTTATCCTGCAAGGGAAGTCGTGACTCTTAGTGAAGGAAAGCAAACAGTTGCTCCCGAGGGGAAACCTTCAGCATCTGAAGAGCGAGAACAGGAATCCGATCCTGAGATCAGACCTCAGATGCCCCAGGACAGAAAACGCACAGTCAGCCATGACCGTCAGGGTCTGCGGAGGGAACAAGGAACCCAAACAGAGAGTGCCGAGGACGCACCTGTGAGAGGGTTACTGCGCATACCACTGAGGAGAACACTGAGAGCACTGGGAAGGAGGCTCCAGCAGGCTGGGGAAGAGTGATCTCCACCAACTCACCGAGCACGCTTTGGTCATGTTTGTGTTCAAAACAGCAAATAAAAAAGAAAAAACAATCTAAATTGTCCTGGATTTGTCTTGTATTTAAATCCACAGCAGTGAACCATGTAAAGGTGCTTTTTGATATCTGGACTGGACTCTGATTGGATGAGTGTTAGGTTTGTAGCTTGAACCTATTCGCTGGAACGTTAAGACAATATAATTACACTGCAAGCAAGACGCAAGTAGGCAAACTTCTTCATGGTACTCGTGCACGGGAGAGATTGGACAGAGCGCCGTCCCTTCGCTTGACCCCAGTAGCTCTCGTCCGTCCTCCCATACACTATCCTTTTATTGAGGTTACATGAATATGCATAGGTTCATTAACATACGACGTCTACATACAAACAAAGAGTACCTTGCCTGTGTGTGTGTGTGTGTGTGTTGCTGATCAAAGGGTCAAACATCCTTGGTCAGGAAGAGGGTAGACTAGACCCCCCCCCCCCGGTGAGGAAGTCCAGCAGTTCATCTAAACAGAAAAGCACTTAGACTAAAACAGACGTAGCTACGTTAATCCTACCATAAAACAATAAGAGAAGGTATGACCTCTCTCATGCTCCCAGGATGTAGGTGTGGAATGCACACCAAGCCTCTGTAGCCTGTTAAAGATCACACAACTTATCACTACACAATTGATTATACACCTCTAAGCATCTATGGTTAAATATTTCTAAGCATAAATAACAATCAACAATACAAACTCTAACAATGAGAGAAGCTGAGCTGGGAGTTGTCTCCAGCTTTTATATCTGCTTCCTTCTCGGCTCGTTAGAGAGTCAGAGATATTTAATGACGGGCGTTCAGAGGAACTATTTTATTACCTCGAGTGAAACTAAGCAGCTACATGAAGGTGGAGAAGGTAAATGTGCTGACCAGTCATATTTCTGGGTAGGAGGAATACGTTACATTTTACTTCCACATTTCTGGAGACGAGCACAAAACGACGATTTCTGCGTTACCTTGATGTGCTTCACGCCGCAGCTCACCAGGCGGCTTTGCTGAAACGGATCCCAGCAGATGTCAAAGATCTGGAGAACAGAAGAATCGTCCGTTATCGGGTTTATGTGAAAACGCGTGCATGCACAGTGGAAGTACGATGAGAAGGAAACACTTTCAAACTCTGTAAAAGATTTTTTATTGAGATCTGATTGGTGTGTGGTGCTTCACGCTGATTTTCTGTCCCGCTCAGACGGCACCGCCCAGAGGCTTTGCCAGACGGCGGCAAGCGGCGAGGCTTAACTGCAGAGGAAGCTGATTGGTGCACGCTCTCACCCTGTCCGAGTGTCCCGTGGCCGTGGCCAGGATCTTCCCTCTCTTCCACTCCCAGATACACACCGTGTTCTTGGCGTCCAGGCCGACCGAGGCCAGCCGCTGCGGAGGAGAGATGGGGACGGTTACGCATCCAAAATGTCTACAAACAATTTAAAAAAAGAGGCTGAACGTGCAGAAATCTGACAGCTCATCTGCTTCATACGTGCAAAAGCTTAATCCAAGCTGACAGAGGGCGGGGCTCCCTGCTCGATTAGCCTGACGCTCATGTGACGTGTTTGTAAGTGTAAATATAGCAACTCTGCAACATTTCAGATGAACTCAAGGGTTTGCTTGGAAAGGCTCAGGTCAAACTGCAGGAATGTCTTAAAGACATAAAGACCTGGATGGCCGCTAACTTTCTGCTTCTTAATTCAGATCAAACTGAGGTTAATGTACTCGGCCCTGAAAAGCTTAGAAATATGGTATCTAAGCAGATTCTTCCTCTGGATGGCATTACCTTGGCCTCCAGTAACGCTGTGAGGAACCTTGGAGTCATTTTTGACCAGGACATGTCCTTCAACGCACATATTAAACAAATATGTAAGACTGCGTTCTTCCATTTGCGCAACATCTCTAAAGTTAGAAATATCCTGTCTCAGAGTGACGCTGAAAAACTAGTTCATGCATTTATTACTTCCAGGCTGGACGACTGTAATTCATTATTATCAGGAAGTCCTAAAAACTCCCTGAAAAGCCTTCAGCTAATCCAAAATGCTGCAGCAAGAGTCCTGACAGGGACTAGAAAGAGAGAGCAGATTTCTCCTGTTTTGGCTTCCTGTTAAATCCAGAATTCAAAATCCTGCTCCTCACATACAAGGTCTTAAATAATCAGGCCCCATCTTATCTTAATGACCTTGTAGTACCATATCACCCTATTAGAGCTCTTCGCTCTCGCTCTGCAGGCCTACTTGTTGTTCCTAGAGTATTTAAAAGTAGAATGGGAGGCAGAGCCTTCAGTTTTCAGGCCCCTCTTCTGTGGAACCAGCTTCCAGTTTGGATTCAGGAGACAGACACTATCTCTACTTTCAAGATTAGGCTTCAAACTTTCCTTTTTGCTAAAGCATATAGTTAGGGCTGGACCAGGTGACCCTGAATCCTCCCTTAGTTATGCTGCAATAGACGTAGACTGCCGGGGGATTCCCATGATGCATTGAGTTTTTCCTTTCCAGTCACCTTTCTCACTCACTATGTGTTAACAGACCTCTCTGCATTGAATCATATCTGTTATTAACCTCTGTCTCTCTTCCACAGCATGTCTTCATCCTGTCTTCCTTCTCTCACCCCAACCAATCACAGCAGATGGCCCCGCCCCTCCCTGAGCCTGGTTCTGCTGGAGGTTTCTTCCTGTTAAAAGGGAGTTTTTCCTTCCCACTGTCGCCAAAGTGCTGCTCACAGGGGGTCATATGATTGTTGGGGTTTCCTCTGTATCTATGAAGCGCCTTGAGGCGACTTTTGTTGTGATTTGGTGCTATATGAATAAAATTGAATTGAATTAATAATAATGGATTGGATTTATATAGCGCTTTTCTAGGCACCCAAAGCGCTTTACAATACCACTATTCATTCACTCTCACATTCACACACTGGTGGAGGCAGCTACAGTTGTAGCCACAGCTGCCCTGGGGCAGACTGACAGAAGCCAGGCTGCCATATCGCGCCATCGGCCCCTCTGGCCAACACCAGTAGGCAAGTAGGGTAAAGTGTCTTGCCCAAGGACACAACGACCAGGACAGAGAGCCTGGTCTTAATGCGTGTTTTGTTTGAGTTTCCACCAGTGTGGAATTACCAAAAACAGAGAGGGCATAGCCGAACATATGAAACAGGAAAGTAATCCCTTTATTTCAAGAAAGTAACTGTATTCTAAATGCCACCTTTTTAAACGGTAACTGTAACAGAATACAGTTACTCATATTTAGTATTTTAAATACGTAACGGCGGTACATGTAGTCTGTTACTGTCTGTGTGGCACACGAATGAACAGAAATGTTGAAAGGTTTTTTAAATCCAACCAGTAAACTGATTGACATGTTCAAACAGTACAGACATCTGTGCCACGTAGCAGAGAGATGGTAGGTGTGGAAAAACTGAGAGGTCTGGGTTTGTGATACCGCTACAGTTTCTCTGCTTCTTTCTGTCAGTGTAACTTCTGGTGGGAGTTTTGTGGTTTTACTGCAGTATAAATGAGAACACCAGCTGATGTTTTTTCCTGTGAAGTTGGTACACGAGGCTGGCCTTTTTAATAAACATGTTCCTTCATGTTCTGCATTTTAATGCCATTAACTCAGAGCTCTCCCATCATGACTCCTCATTGGAAACTTTTGGTTTTACATCTACAGGTCAGCAAAGGATGAGTGTCTTAGACTAGAGTGGATGTTTACACACCTGCTGTTAATATTTCCATCTACAGACAGGTTCATTTAGACAGTGACACTTTCATACAGGCCTCCATTATCACAGTAATTGAACAGTTTACTGAAAAACAGTTTCATGGCTGCGTGAATATAGAGGAGAGAAACAGCTGGTGGTCTGAAGCATACCACATCACACGTCAAACATGGTGGAGGTAATGTTATGGCTCGGGCCTGTACGGCTGCGGTGGAAGTGGGTCACGGTTTATTGATGTTGTGACTGCTAATCGAAGCAGCAGGATGAACTGTGACGTGTGACCTTTGCTCTCCGCTCAGAGTCACGCAAAAGCTGCAAAACTGATCGGACAGAGCAGGTGGAGTATGAGCCAAAGCAAACTGTAAAAGCAAATAAAGTAAATAAATGGGATGTTCTTAATGAAATTATGAAGTTTGACAGTTGAAGATTATACACACGTGTGTTTTCTTCCATATACGGCATTAAATATGACACGTGTGTGGCTTAATGTCCACTGTATTGTTCGCTGCTGTGCAAGAAAGCAGGAAGTGTCTTAAAGCCACAGTTTTCAGGCTTATCTGCAGCTTTCTGCCACTGACGGCTCATTTCACTCTTGTGTGTCTCAGCCATGTGGACACAGCAGACAAACTTCTTCTTTTTGGCCACAGGTGTGCTGAGCCTCAAACACACTCAGCAGCCACAGTTTGTGTGTTTGTGCTCAGGTGGTGAACATGACACGTGCTGCAGAGGTGGCGGGAGCTGAGACGGACCCGGAGCTCGCAGGCAGGAAAGGTTTAAAGAAGCTCTGCTCCTGTTTGGTCGTGTTTTCTCTTTATTTTACTCACAATACTGACGCTAAGAATCGAGGTGATTGAATTCAGAGACACACAATAAACAGAGGTGTTTGAACTTTTAGCAGTTTTGCTTCTCTTTGCTGATGTTTGTGTCACATTTTGGTTTGTGTGTCATTTTCATGACATGTGTTGGTGCTTTTTTCATCTCGTTTTAGTCGTTTTGTTTCTTATCTTTTCTTTTTCCTTTCTTTTGCTTTTGCGTTGCATTTTGTAACTGTTGTGTTTTTGGTTTGTTGTCACTTCAGATTTGTAGTTTTCAGCCAACAGGAGAACAGTGGATGAGTGTTTTGTGTTCTGAGGTGCATGCTCCTCTTTATAAAAACACTGCAGTCTTCTCCTGGTTGCTGCTCGTTTCTTTGTCTCCTCCTGCACGGCTGTTTGTTCTGAGCCTGTTGTGTTAGTAAAGCCTCCGATGGGCATTTCTTCAGCTTTGATCCTTTACAATAAATTCCAGCGAACAGTCGTCCACGTCAGCGGAAGCTAAACCGCAGTCTGCCCAGATCAGCCGCGCCCCAGGAGCTTTGCATACGACGCTGAGCTCTGTGCGTTTTCATTCCTGTGAAAACCTGAAGCCAGTGTGAGCTGCAGGCCATCGGGCCGCTGTCACCGTGCGAGGTGGGCTTACGTCTCCACCACTAAACTGATCTTATTTGCAGATGCTTTCAAATCACATAAAGCTTCTATGAGCCAAAGAAAAGTTTGATTTTTTTTAAATATTTACTGGTTTAGTTTCTTTTTTTTTACTAAAGCAGGATGATGATTTCTGGTGAGGAGACCAGGTGAGGATCTCACCTGTGAGCTTTTCTGGCTCAATGAATGATAAAACATTATCATCAGAGGCTCTTACAGTTATTATCATCATTCTCTAAAGTGTTTATAATGTGTATAAAGTACACAAGTGTACAAAAAACTGAATCATTAAAAGTATTTTAGAATCACTCGTTCATGTCGTGTCCACTAAACCAAGGAGAGAACGGCTACATGATCAGACAATAAAATCAATATATAGTCAGTTTATTTTATTTGTTCAGCAAGTTTAAAAACAAAGTGCTTCATAATAAAAACAAATAAACTGGGAGGAAGATGCCGAGTCCTGTTCCTGGTTCTGGTCTGTTCATATTTAAGTCTTGAGGTCCCCGATGTTTTAGCTGTTTCTTGTAACTTTTAGATTTTCTGAGGATTTTGTTTCCTGTTTTTGGATTTTTCATGACATTCATAAAGGTTGTTTTTTTGTTTGTGCAGTTGGTGTCAGATATCTGGGTTTAGCTCCAATTCACCACACACCGTAACGCACACACTCACACTATTTGCATAAAATAAGACAACAACAAACTGTCGTTGACGGTTCAGCAGTTTCCAAAAAGTTGCAGGAAATCTGACAAAAGTATTTTACTTTTTCCAGATCAAACTCCGTCCCTCTGATCGTCACTTTTAAAGCGACTAACATTCAGAGTGAGATGTGTCTGTGAGGCTAATATTCAGTGGTAGCAAACACTGAAATTTATAATTCTGTAAATCTATGATTCTGCTGAAATTCTTCAACTTTATCACAAAAAAATTAAAATTGAGGTGACTGAAAATAAAAGCTGCAGTTCCTCTAACGTCCACTTGGGGCTCCAGCAGTGAGTCAGTCCCCACAGACTCACAGGTTAAAACGTCCAACTTTACAGCAGAAAGAAACACGTTTACAGCCCGATGCAAACTGCAGCTTTAGTAGAAGATGTGATCTAAACTCAGGTGACATGCCAAAGCTGAAAGCTCGGGCTGAAGAGTTAAACGCTGGTGTGAAACTCCCCAGCAGGAGGAGAGGCACCATCAGAGAAGAAAAACAAACAAATCATCAGCAGTCAGACTTTAGGAGACTGACTGTCTGAAAATGGTGCTGTGGCTCACTCAGAACCAGAGGCAGACATATTTGTGGCTGCAGCTTGTTGTTCTGTGTTGGCAGTCAGGCAACTTGAACACATCTAATGCAGCACAACACTGTGCAAGCCTGTTTGACCAAATGCTATTTATAACAAGCCAATTGTTATTTTGGGTATCACTGCATCATTGTTATGTTTGCGTTGATGGAAGGGATCATGAAGACACTGTGTGCTGAGAGCTACAGCGCGATAAAGCAGCCACGCCCATCTCCGAATACCATGGTAACCCTTCAGAGACGAAAACAGAGTCAGTCTTAGTCCCAGAAACAGTCATGCCCGGTCTACAGTCAGTTTAATAATACTGTACTGATTTACTTGCAAGGTCAAATGTTTTCTCTGTAAAGTTTGTTGGATCGCCTTTAGCTTTGATGATGCCATTAAATCACCAGAGCATCATGTTGATAAGCTCATGCAGTGCTGCAGGATCCACCCAGAGATCTTGTATGGATGATGGGAAAGTTGGACTGCTGCAAACAGTCTTCTGCAGCACATCCCACAGACTCTTTAAAGTTCTGCACTCTTTCATACTCTGAGCCTGATGACTGCTCGAGCTCTCAGTTGGAGCACGCTGTGCCATCGATGTCCTGAAGTGTCCAACAGAGCGACTCCAGACCACGACACATCCCCACAGACTCACACAGTGGCCACTAGGCATGATGGGTGCAACACTTTGTTGACCTCTCTTCTTAGACCACATGACCTTCATCCATTGCTCCGGAGCCTTATCTTTATGCTCCCATGCAAAGTGCCTTTTTTCCATAATTAGCATAAGTGTTTTATAAAGGCTACACAGCTGTTTGGGCCCACACTGAGTTGTCTTCATTAAACATGTGGACATGCTCTTCATTATCAAACAGCTTCTGTCTTCTCCTGACATGACTGCTAAAAAAAAAAAAGCATAAATCAGCTGAAACATGAATCACTGCAGGACTTTCTGAGCTAATCTGACCCATTTCCTCAGTTAAATCCACGTTTAAGATTTTTATTCACTATTCAGGGTTTCAGTGATCGGACATTAATGCTGTGTTGTGTAACACTGTTGTGAGTCTGAATTTAGATCCTAAATAGAGTTCACACCTGCCCCCAAATGCTGAGAAGACAAAGCTTTAGAACAAACATAGAAAACCCCCGAAGGAGTCGAGGGACACAACGCTTCACAACAACCCTCGATGGACGGCACGCATTCATCCACCGAACACCCCGAAGGTCTGTTACAGAAGAAAGAGTCAGCAGGAAGAGAGCTGCATCCTGAAGATAACGCACACACAAAGGACCGGTCTCCAGCGTGCAGCTGCAGGAAATGCTGCTGGAGCATCTAAACAGGACGCGCTGCAGCTCTTACAGCAGGCTACAGCTCGCTTCAGGGATGACATCACAGCTACTGCCTGTTTAAACATCAGCACATCTGTGCTACAGCTGCTCACACCGTCAGCCTTTCACCTGCGAGTCGCTGATCTGTTAACAGCGACGTGTCTGCAGGTGGCATCTTTCACTTTAGAGCGCCATTAGAAAACAGGGCAAAAGACTTCAGTGCAAGTAATGATCGGACATAATAAAAAGCTTCAGTAGCAAACTAAACCCTTTCAAGCATCCCCACATAAGTCTAAGATAATTAATGGGAAGAAGGACTTTCTATAAACGATTATTTGAGCACTGACCTCAGCATAAAAAGGCACTTTCTGAAGCCACTGAACGTTTGGCTGGGAATTCTTTATCTGGGAAGTAAATCAGGTGGAAAAATGGCAACTCGTCCTTCGTTAGGTGACATATAAACTGCTGCAGCCTTAAAAAGTGAACACACCTTTTTATTGAGTCCAGATGGTGACTGTTCATCTCCAATCAGCTGATTACAAACGCAGTAAGAGGCGGCTTCCTGTAATCAGAGGCTCCTCTACTGCACAGGAAATGCCACAAAGGCCCAGCATGAGATCCCCAATGTTTAACGCTCAAAAACAACAACACCATAAACACTCGTTTATTTATTTTATACTGTGGGTGTAAAAAGTGAATGAAAATTCCTCTGAAAGCTCCTGACGAGCACTTTAGATAAAGGAAATGAAGATAAAGAAGGCTTTCCACAGAGGTATGACTGACATTTGTTTACAGCTGATTTAATCACTGGGTGTCATTAAAACTGAGCACGTGGTTAATCCCTCCGTGCTACTTGTTTTCAGCCTCTTTGTAGTTATTTTGCATCAGTTTTCTGATATTTTGTGGTCGTTTTTATCTCTTTGGACAGAATTAAAGCTCTGAAATACAACCACTACTTAGAAACAGCGCGTTACCCTGACGGGTGGTTTTTGGGGTAGACGAGGCAACACGAGCTTCCCTGCTCGTGTTTCACACTTGACTGCTGTCGCTGGATTCTGTAACACTTGTCATGCCTGAGTCATCCACACTGTCAGCCAAACTTCTCCTCGCAGTGTTTTGCAAAGCTGAAACCAACTACTAACTATGCACAGGTGCATCAAACACACACCTGCTAAGGAGCTCAGCGACATCCAAATAAAATCCCAGTTTCACTCACCAACACTGGACCTGAGCTCTGTTCGTACAGCAGCCAAGTCATTGATCAGCTAATGTCATCAAAAATGTTCCAGCAGCACAAACACGGGGCTCCAGTTAGCTGAGGGGAGGCCTAGCACACAGCTAACAGCTGCAGCCACTAGTGATGGGTCGTTCGCGAACGAAATGGCTCTTAGAGCCGGCTCTTTGACGTGAACGACGCAAGCCGGCTCCTTATCGCGAGCCGTCACGTGGGTTTTTTTTTTTTTTTCTCTCAGCCTCTCTCTCGCACTTTTTTCCCGCTTCACTCTGCACGCGTATGGCGTTATTTTTGTGCCACTATTCTGAGCGCACGTAAAAAAAATTTGCAGGTGCAAGTGTTGCATTTTGAGGAGAAATTTATTTTGAGCGAAGAAAAGCTGAATTTGAGTGAACAAAATTCATTGCTGCGTGCAAAAAATGTATTTCAGTGTTTGCTATTATCCACACACACAATAGCAGCCCCTCTCGCTCAGTTTTTGCACTTGCGCTCGCTCGCAATGTGTCGCTCGCGCTCTCAACATTTCAGCCCGTGCGCGCTCAACTCGTTCTGTACACCGTTATATTTGTGCCACAAAACCAGCCAATCACAGACTTGGATGCAAAAAAAATCTGATTGGCTGTTTTCGTCTCCAACCAGCTCGAAATGACGAAATGCAATATCCCAGAATCAATTTCGTCCAAAACTCAAACGAGGCAGTGGCGGAGGAACACAGAGTGGCGGAGTTTGAAATATTACTCTTTGTGGGTCACAAAATAAACTTTTAAGATATTTTCATGCGAGAATGGTGCTGTGTAAACTTCTAATATCTGCTCGATTTATCAAGACATCACATATTTGCATAAGTGCTCTAACGTTTTTGGAGATGCCTGTTACCCACCAGCTGACCGAATACCTGGACTGGCCATTGGGCATTTACCCGGCATTTGCCCGGTGGGCCAATGGTGATTTTTCATTTTTATGTTAGTTTGTTTGTTTTTGTAATGGTATAAACAATGAAAGGTGGTGGATTAGCCAGCTGGTAATAATCAACTCTGGGCTGGACCAATTACAATACATCCGTATTGAGGGGAAAAGACTTCAGCGAGAATAAAAAAGACACAAAGCTGGAGTTATTCTGTGTCTTAGCTGCCTCTTCTCTCCTCATTCTCCCTCCCTCTCCTGTTGCTACTTCAATCATGAAACTGATCAATGATCAGCTGATCGTCTCTCTTGTTTGTTTATCTCCCACTTTGCGCCAGAAACAGGAAACCAGCGGATGTTGCGCTAAACAACAACAGCAGCACGTTCAAAATTGATCAGCTGTTGTTAGAATTTATTTAAAATTAATTTCTAGTATCAGCTGATGTTTGCTGGAGCCACAGCTGTAAAGCTGGAAACATGAAGGTGATACAAATCATACATATATACCAACAAAACAGTGTACATCACTGTCACAACAGCGTTTGTTTTCGTTCAAAGGCTTTATGGTTTTTCCAATAATACCTGGTGGTGTAGTCGGTGATTTTTTTGTCAGTTCAGCCTTATATATTATGTTTAACCCGAGTTCCCACCCGGTCAGCTGGTGGGTAACAGGCATCTCCGAAAACGTTGGAGCACTTATGCAAATATGTGATGTCTTGATAAATCGAGCAGATATTTGAAGTTCACACAGCACCATTCTAACATGAAAATATCTTAAAAGTTTATTTTGTGTCCCAGAAAGAGTAATATTTCAAACTCCGCCACTCTGTGTTCCTCCGCCACTGCCTCGTTTGAGCTTTGGACGAAATGGATTCTGGGATATTGCATTTCGTCCTTTCGAGCTGATTGGAGACAAAAACAGCCAATCAGATTTTTTTGCATCCAAGTCTGTGATTGGCTGGTTTTGTGGCACAAATATAACGGTGTACAGAAAGAGTTGAGCGTGCACGGGCAGAAATGTTGAGAGCGTGAGCGACACATTGCGAGCGCAAATACAAAAACTGAGCGAGAGGGGCTGCTATTGTGCGTGTGTATATGGATAATAGCAAACACGGATATACATTTTTTGCATGCAGCAATGAATTTTGTTCACTCAAATTCAGCTTTTCTTCGCTCAAAATAAATTTCTCCTCAAAATGCAACACTTGCACCTGCAAACCTTTTTTACGTGCGCTCAGAATAGTGGCACAAAAATAACGCCATACACGCGAGCCTTGTGCTTTACGCTGGGCAGAGGGGGGAGGGGCGGTAGTTACACTCAGTAGCACAGGAACAGAGCCAGAGAGAGAGAAAGAGAGGCAGGGACAACAACATTAGAAAGGTATAGTAATCATCCACAACTATTTTCGGTTGCAGATGATAAAGGATTGAGAAAGTTTATTCATGCAGGTCCATATGACAGAGAATGTGCATGTTCTTTTAGTTTTCATATTATAATTTATATTTAATTGTGTTGTGGTTTGCAGTGTTTTGTGTTCTTTTCACTTTAAATTTGTGAAAGGAAAAAGCTGAAAATTTAAATAGTTAAAACTTGAAATGTGAATAGTTGATTTTTGTATTATATGATTTATTTATTACATTTTATGTGGAGTGAATAAATAAAAGTATATTTACGGTGGCCCCTAGAGACAAAGCACATACAAACTTCAAATCACGTACGAACTCTGAAGCATGTACAAACTCCAAAACACGTAAAAACACGTACAAACTCCAAAACACGTAAAAACTCCAAAACACGTAAAAACACGTACAAACTCCGAAGCACGTAAAAACTCAGAAGCATTTAAAAACTCAGAAGCACATAAAAACTCAAAACACGTACAAAAGACAACAGAAGTGCTCCAGGATGCTGGGCGCAGTGTTGACCCTTTGTTATCTTGTGGCTACACAAGCCAGCAAGTACCAACGACCGGATTTGGTGTGTGGTAATAACAGGTAAATGAACTTTTTTTTAAATTATTTGAATATATATATGAGTGCCTGTGTATAAATACACAAACAATACACACATGCTTTCAATTGTGTAATTTAAGTGATCTAGTAGCTCTGCTTTGGAAGTTCAGTTCATGCTAGAAACGTGTTTTGGAGTTTGTACGTGTTTTGTCTCTAGGGGCCACCGCATATATTTATATATAAACATATATAAATAAAACCACTTGTTTTTACGTTAGTAATTCCTTTTGTGCATAATTTTATATTATTGTTAATAATAAATTAATTAAAGCAACAAAACAACCTGAAGAGCCGGTTCGGAGCCGAAAGAGCCGGCTCTTTTTAGTGAGTCGAACCGAAAGAGCCGGGTCTCTAAAAAGAGCCGGAAATCCCATCACTAGCAGCCACCTGTCAGTCAAAGAGACCACGCCCCCAGCCACAACCTTTAAGCCTGAATACAATTTAAACAGGTGAGTTCAAACATTCAGTTGTTATGAAGGAGAAAATTATTTATAGGGATCAAAGCAGCTTTCTATCAGTGTTTGGGGTTCTTACTCAAAAATAAATTACTTTTTAAAACTAATTACTGTTACTTTCTCCAGGGAGTAATTAAGTAATTTGTTACTTGTTACATTATTTTTGCGTTACTCTGACCTGTTAATAATATAAACCTTAGGTTACAGTCCTGCACACTCACATAAATCCCTTTGATAATAAAAACACACATACAGTGTTTGTGTATTAACACAAAGCTGAACACAAGCCCAAACAGAAACTTCACTGCTGGCAGGAGAGCTGCGGAGCAGGTTTTTAACCCCACGAGTTCATCAAGTGTAGCTGACAGTTAAAAAAAACAAAGTCTGGGCTGTGAGCCGGCATGCAGTAACCCTAACAAACCAGCATGAGTACACCTGTGACTGTAACAACCAGAGCTGCGTGTGAAACGGCTCACATCTCCACCTTTACATTAATGCTCCCAAACTTTGACTGCGTGACAAATGAAACTGTCTTTATGTTAGTTTAGCTTTACAGCACCCCGGCGGCTCGTGCGCTCGTTTCCTGCACACAAAGAGATATTTTAGTCTCGGTGTTTGTCTCGTGAATTATGGATTTGTGTTCCAGTTTAGGGACTTTTGGGAGAGATTTCTTGGATGATCCATTGTTCACATATCTCTGCAAGCTTTATTAACTTACATTGTTCGTGCTGCGTCCTGTGACCCAGAGCCCCGTCTGGACTTCCTGACAGGAAAACCTTCAGTGCTGAGGCCCAGTGGGAAACACCAAGCCTATGTTTGGACACAGATTTAAACATGGCTGCAACGTTCTCCCTCCACTGACCTGCTACAGACCACAACCTGCTCCTGGTGTCACCCACTCATAGTTTGTAGTTACAACAGAAGGAGCATTCAAAAGCTGTCAATTTTTTAGGAATACTCGGAATAATTTCATTTTTTGTTTTAGCGATGGTGCACAAGAAAGTCAATCTTTAGGGAGCTGAAGGTGGACTCCTGTGGAAGTACAGGAACATCATTCCAACTCCATCGTCTGAGGACATTGTTTACTCTTTGTCTGCACTCAAAGGGCTGCTGGAGAATATTTTTCATGACACCCTTCGCCACTCAAAGAACAGAGCATGGATGATAACAACAGACGTGACACTGATTAAATCAGAAGTAACATGAACAGTATGAAAGGAGGAGTATGGGTGGAGGTATGGTTGACAAGCAGCTTGCAGAGGCAGCAGCAGGTATGCACCTGAAGCAGTTTATGCCTCAATCACACAGGCCTAGAGACCAGTCAGTGACTCCATGGTAACCACTGGTTGCTAGGGAAATGTGTTTATTATTCAGCTGGTGAGTGGTTGCTGGAGGTTGCTGCACCAAAAACCTTGTTGCAGTTACTTTGGTTGCCAGTGCCGATTGCCCGTAAATTGCATGGAAGACACCAACTTCAGCAACCTTCAGCAACCAGTTGGACAATGCACGTATGAGCTCATCGGCTTAGCTGACGTGACTGGCAACATCCCTGCAACCCCGAAATGACTGATTCTTTGTGAAACATGACATCAGGGAGGAAGTAAAACGATGCTTTTCCAAGCACCCTCCAGGGTCTCACCATCACATTTGGACAAATAATCTTCAGGTCTGAAGGAAAGTTCAGACAATCAAGGGAAATTGAATTGATGCATATTTAGTCAAAATGTTTGTTCTTTAACCAATATTAGTTAATAAGTTGGCTGTCATTGCTCCTGCTGTTTCTCCTGTATTATAGTGATGTTTCCACAAAACATTCTTAAATGAAATACAGGCAGGAATCATTTTACTCGGTTTTATGGAAAAACGAACACTGAACTCAACTTTACCTTCATGTTTTTATTAAATTTTGTTCATCTTACAAATTAAAAACAACTTAAACACACAAAATTAACTTCAAGTTCACATTCTCCAGTAATCTGTAAAAATAAAGTCGAAGAGTGTTTTTCTTAACAATGACCCAACTTCATGTATATACAGTATAATGTACATTACATGGGAAAACATATACAAATAAATCAAATGTCCAGCTGATTTGGGGGCAAATAAAAACAGAAGGCGCCCACTGAATGAGCAGTAAACAAAAGACACACATCAGAACTATTGATCGGTATCAATCCTTATTGCTTAGAGTGATTTTACGTCCTCATCTGCTGCTCCACTGAGGAGGAATCACTGCGGTGCAGAGTGATGAAGAGCATAATAATTAATCATTTATATACAAATCTACAAGCTTGCTGTAAAACTGTGCAGCGGGAGGAACGAGCCTCCGTTACGAGGAAAGCTGAGGAACATAAATGTAGATTCTCGACACAGATCGTCTCATCCGACGTAAACAAAATGCCCTACGACCCGACTTTCCCAGAACATGACGAGCACCACGAAACATCCTGGCGTTGCTTCTACTATTCACAGCACAGATCGCTCCCTGTGCCGAACAACGAAAGTAAAACTGTGACCGAGACTAACCGAGGCCGCTGGAGACAG